TTAGCCTAAGAGTTAGCCTCACGTCACTGTTTACCCATTAGCCTAAGAGTTAGCCTCACGTCACTGTTTACCCATTAGCCTAAGAGTTAGCCTCACGTCACTGTTTACCCATTAGCCTAAGAGTTAGCCTCACGTCACTGTTTACCCATTAGCCTAAGAGTTAGCCTCACGTCACTGTTTACCCATTAGCCTAAGAGTTAGCCTCACGTCACTGTTTACCCATTAGCCTAAGAGTTAGCCTCACGTCACTGTTTACCCATTAGCCTAAGAGTTAGCCTCACGTCACTGTTTACCCATTAGCCTAAGAGTTAGCCTCCACGTCACTGTTTACCCATTAGCCTAAGAGTTAGCCTCACGTCACTGTTTACCCATTAGCCTAAGAGTTAGCCTCACGTCACTGTTTACCCATTAGCCAAAAGAGTTAGCCTCGTCACTGTTTACCCATTAGCCTAATCAACAGCCTCGTTTGTTTACCCATTAGCCCAAGAGTTAGGCTAATGGGTAAACAAATGAAGTTAAATCTAAGAGATGTTAGGCTAATGGGTAAACAACAGTTACGTGAATGATGGGGAAATTAAACAGTGACGAGGCTTTTGAGTTAACCTCACGTCACTGTTTACCCATTAGCCTAAGAGTTCGCGGAAGTAAGGAAATTGGTGAATTTCAATGAAGGCAAATAATAGGATGGCATCATTGTGGGAAGTCATACAAAATTTGCTAGGTTTTTCCTGGTTAATCATCAAACGATTAATAAGATTGACAAAAATTTTAATGATGGCGACTTTTGTCGTGTGGAACAACGTTCAGGAAGACCAAGCATCGTGTCTGAGCGAACGAAAATGGCGCTGACTGGGAAGTCACGAGACACCGTCGTCAGAGCATCAAAGATGTCGCCAAATCATGGAAATGTCGCCATATGCAGCGAGAAAGACTCTGATAGAGCTAGACTATCAAAGAAGAGGTGCAAGAAAGAAGCCCTTTATTTCAGAAGTTAAAAGGAACAAACGTATGGACTGGGCGAGAGAATTCGAGAACAAAGATTATGGATTTTGGCAGTCTGTAATTTGACCAGAAGTAAGTAAATACTGCTAATATTCGAATTTGAGGCAGGTTTATGTTTGGAGAAATCAGAATGAAACTTGGAACACTGAATGTCTACAGGCGATCATGAAACATGGTGGGATTTGAGTAATGGTGTGGAGCGCTATCTAGTTTAGAGGGAAATCTGAGCTGATTCTTGTTGATAAATGGTTGAATGGTACAAAGTACTGTCAAATATTAGAGAAAGGACTATTCCCACTATTTGAAACCAATCAGATTGACAAGAATGTCTACCTTTTTCAAGAAGATTGAGTACCATATCATACGCGCAAAATAGCAAAGGCCTGGAAGGAATTGCAAGGAATCAAGTCACTGCCATGGGTAGCCCAAAATCCTCACAGAGCACATTTGGGAGCACCTTGGCCGAAAAATTCGAAAACTAAAAAGACGTCAGTGGCAACCCTTAAAGAAACATTGCTAAAGGAGTGGCAAAATATGGATCAGATGATTGTTGATAACTGGATCAAATCCATGGCAAATCAAATAAAATATACTGAAACTAGCAAATGCAGGATCTATTGCATACTAGTTCCAAATACTGTTTATTTATGTTGAGTTGGGATTACGTAATTAAATTTTGAAATTTAATGTAGTTTATTTCTCCTGGCTAAAAACTTTTCTTAGGCCACTATATATATATATATATATATATATATATATATATATATATATATATATATATATATATATGTATATTTTTCATAATAAAACCGAGTGGTTTAGAACGTTCGAATCTCGCCATGGTTGATTCGTCAGTAAGGAGTTTTCTTGATGTTATCGGACTGGATCGGGGTCGATCCCAGCGTGCGTCACTTTTGGAATGTGCCTGAAAACCATACCACGAGTAGACCCAAGACTTGTGTGTGAAATTGGATAGACGAAACTCTTGTAGGCCGTCGATAGCTGTGCTAGCACGAAGCCAAAAGTCATCGTGGCCGAGGGCTTCAGCGTGCTGGACTTATTCAAATTGTTTATCACACTGGATAACACGCTCTCTCCCATAAACTGTAACTAAGGTCTGTTCAGCATAGTTGCAGTATAAACCACAGGTGGGCTCTGTGGGTGTTGAATAAACACAAATGTGCCTGAGCGAGCGTCTGCAATAGACGGGTATCTTCGAATACGAGTGGCCAGCTTTTATATATCTCTCCACATGTCTTTCTATATCTCTCTCTCCTTTCTGTCTCTCACTCTCTCCTTTCTGTCTCTCACTCTCTCCTTTCTGTCTCTCACTCTCTCCTTTCTGTCTCTCCATCTCTCTTTTTGTCTCTCCTCTCTCCTTTCTTCTATCCCCTCTTTTCTATCTCCCTATCCGTCTTTTTTTTCTCTCCCTATCTTTTTCTATCTCTCCCTACGTCTTTTTTCTATCTCTCCCTACGTCTTTTTTCTATCTCTCCCTACGTCTTTTTTCTATCTCTCCCTACGTCTTTTTTCTATCTCTCCCTACGTCTTTTTTCTATCTCTCCCTAGTACCCCTTTTTCTCTCTCCCTACGTCTTTTTCTCTCTCTCCCTACGTCTTTTTTCTCTCTCTCCCTACGTCTTTTTTCTCTCTCTCTCTCTGCCTCTTTTTCTATCTCTCTCTCTCTGCCTCTTTTTCTATCTCTCTCTCTCTGCCTCTTTTTTATCTCTCTCTCTCTGCCTCTTTTTTTTCTCTCTCTCTCTCTCTGCCTCTTTTTTTTCTCACTCTCTCTCTCTGCCTCTTTTTTTCTCTCTCTCTCTCCTCTTTTTCTCTCTCTGCCTCTTTTTTTTCTCTCTCTCTCTGCCTCTTTTTTCTCTCTCTCTGCCTCTTTTTTTCTCTCTCTCCTCTCTCTCTCCTCTTTTTTTTCCTCTCTCTCTCTGCCTCTTTTTTTCTCTCTCTCTCTCTGCCTCTTTTTTCTCTCTCTCTCTCTGCCTCTTTTTTCTCTCTCTCTCTCTGCCTCTTTTTTTCTCTCTCTGCCTCTTTTTTCTCTCTCTCTCTCTGCCTCTTTTTCTCTCTCTCTCTCTTTTCTCTCTCTCCTTTTTTTCTCTCTCTCTCTGCCTCTTTTTTTCTCTCTCTGCCCCTCTTTCTCTCTCTGCCTCTTTTTTTCTCTCTCTCTCTGCCTCTTTTCTCTCTCTCTCTGCCTCTTTTCTCTCTCTCTCTGCCTCTTTTCTCTCTCTCTCTGCCTCTTTTCTCTCTCTCTCTGCCTCTTTTCTCTCTCTCTCTCTCTCTGCCTCTTTTCTCTTTCTCTCTCTCTCTCTCTCTGCCTCTTTTTTCTATTTGCTAAATTTGTTATTTGTTTAAAGCAGCATTGATGGCAATACGACATTCTAAATGCGACACGATTCTCTAGTCTGTAGAATTATCAAACATCGATGTTTTTGTTGTTTGTTCTGTTTTCTTATTCTGTTTTTTGTTGTTTTTTTGTTTTTGTTTCTTTTTTTTTCTTTTTTTTCTTTTTTTTTGTAAATCACGAATTTCCGGATTTTTGTCACCTCTCCGAAGTTTATATTTTACAAGGTGATAGTCGGTTTCATATCATAATTTTGTATGCTTTTTTTAGGGAATATTAGCATTTTTTCAGGTCGTACTAGAAATGAGAAACCTTCTAGCGCGCGCGTATTCATTTTGTAAGGTTGTTCACGTGCAGACATTTGTGGATTTTAAGACTCCATTAGCACCATGGGATGTTTGAATACCCCACAAAATGTTTTTCTTTAATGTTTAGCAATTTTCAAGTTAAATCTTCACAATTAATTAATTCATGAACTATGTTTCTGAATATCTCATAATTAACAACAAGGTTTTTTTTTTCTAGTCCTGCCATTAATGATTTGTGCGAATAAAAAAACATTTTTATTTCTTTACTGTAGATAAAATAAAACCTATTTTTGAAATTCGATAATATATTTTTTTTAACATTGGCCTTTTAATTTGATTTTTTTCTTTAAATAAATCATTTTAATTTCATTTTTATTTATCCTATGCGAACAAGAAAGAACACTGAAAACAATTTATACCGAAAACATTTAGAACTAAAAGGACAATATGAATAAAGACAAAAGGAAAGATTATCTTAGCCGACGCATTTCATCCTTTGACAGAAATTATCAAGTGAAGATTTTATTTTGCAACAATAAACAAAAGTAAAAAAATGTTACTTTTTCAAAATTTTTAAATTTAAGAGACGCTCATAAATATTCATCAGGTTAACTTAAAAGTCTCGGTAAATTATGGAAGATGTTAAGTAACATAATTTAATATCTAATAAATGAAAGCGAGAAAATGTTTAATTTTTCATATATGTTGTCCAGGGAAATGAGTAATTCTTTCAGGAATGGAGATATTTGAGAAAAAATCGTGGCGCAGATTTATATTTTGGCAAGATCTGACAGCAGCACTATAGAGAATTTTCCGTCTAAGTAAAGGATATGTCTACATTTTAAATGGCCATTTTGATTATTTATGTTACCAATGTTGAGATGATGCTCAACAATGCTAACAGAGTGTTAAGCATTCTTTTTGTGGCATTTCATTTCATTGGTTCCTGGTGTGAATGAGTACTGGTGAAATTTGATGTTTCAGACAATCGAGTATGCTGTGATTGATGATCATCCTGTCTGTTCTTTGCTTTTCTTTCCACGAAATGTTTTATCAATTAAGTCAAAAAATATTCTGAAATATACATCCAGACATATCTATATGAATAAATACGAATTCGGAGCTCAATTCTCCCATAAATTCTGAGATTAAAAGGTCCGAACTCTATAGTAATTTGTATTTACTGACTCCCACGAGGTCATGTTGTGACACAGGGTCAGTTTAATGTGGGGAGACCGAGCGCGTACACCCAGGCTAGGAACAAAAATTGCCCGCAGCATAAAAAGCGCCGTCGACAGGGCCCAGTTTTATTGCTAGAAAGGCAGAATAGAAACAAAGATCTAGATTCAGGATTGTCCCACGGCACAATAGCCTAGTGGATTAAATCTTTGGTTTGTGAATTTGGTTGTCCAATCTGGTTGTACATAGACACAGTGTAAAAGGTGAGAAATCAGGAGATATCACTAGACATGGACACACTTCCTCTTAGATATAGGTTTCAGTTCAAAATTCCCTGAAGGTTCAACCAAATTGCCAGGCTCATGGAGAACACAACGGCCGTAATTTTGTAATAACACCAACAAAGATGAAATTAGTCCGATGTAAAACGAATTGGAGAAATTAAATATTCTCAAAAACATGCATACGTTAGACATTTTAAAGAAACTGTCCATTGTTTGAAGTTAAAAAGCAAATATCTAAATGAAAGAACAGGTCACTCTGACATTTAGCAGATGAAGACGAACGTATTTTGCGAGTGTTACTCCCCCTGCCCCGTCAATCAGTCAGCTTCCTTTGGAGGGGCATCCCTGGCAATAGCCGGGGTTATCGGAGAGCAAACGGATGTTTTGTTTGTTTTTTTTTTATAAAATACGCACATGTGAATCTAGTTCACTGGTGATGCCAGGTTCCAAGGCTAATGCTACGAAGCGAAAATGACGGCAAGCAAATTCTCGCAAAAATAATAAATTTTATTGGACCCATCCCAAGCAGGGCGTGGCAATACGATAAATCACTTGTTCTAATGCCCTGAAAAATTTTCAACACACACACACACCCACCAGTTTGGTCTGGCAGTGCGCCACATTGGTTAAAGCATCTAGTAGAAAGTAAATTCATTCCACTCCTCATGGTCTGGCACGTGCCCTTACATGTCTGGGTAAATGCAAATGTGTCTGTCTCACTCTCTCTCTCACTCTCTCTCTCTCTCTCATATATATATATATATATATATATATATATATATATATATATATACACACACACAGTGGAACATCGGTTCACGAATTTAATTCGTTCCTGAATGCCGTTCGTAACCCGAAATGTTCGTAAACCGAAACAGGAATCAATGTAGTGAAAAAAAAAGTCACAGTACAATAAAATTGGTAAAGAAAAGCACGTCACAACATACGAATGTATGCAACACGGCGATCGACTCTGAAATTATTCCGTTCGGATTATGTCGGTTCGGCTATGTTGTTCGATAACCGAGTCATTTTCGTCTGGGATATTCTGTTCGAAAACCAATTTGTTCGATATGTGAGAGGTTCAAGAACCGAGGTTTCTCTATCTATCTCTCTCTCTCTCTATCTATCTATATATATATATATATATATATATATATATATATATATATATGTGTGTGTGTGTTTGTAATTTCAAGACAAATATTGGGGTAAAATGTATGACTAAGTGAAAAACGTTACTTGTGACGCGTTTCGTGCTTCATGACTTCATCGGACTAAACTTATTATGTCGCTACGACTACACATGCGCACGAACGAGGGATGCGAATGATTTTAGAATCTTTTATAATTTATTTGTTTTTGTTTTTTGTAGAAATATATATATATTATAATTTTATCATATAGACAAAACCATTTTACTCACTACAAAGATGCAACTTCGTTTCAGTGCATTTCAACTGCACTTTGACGGGTGAGAATCGAAAATGATTTTCGAAATGATCATTTTCGATTCTCACCCGTCGAAGTGCAGTTGAATGCACTGAAACGAAGTTGCATCTTTGTAGTGAGTAAAATGGTTTTGTCTATATGATAAAATTATAATAAATGAATAATTATCGCTCTACTATCGGTATAGAGACCTTTTGGATTAATGCTGTGAACGTTGAATTTATATATTACTTTAGTTCTCTTCACATCGTGCGTGTATATATATATATATATATATATATATATATATATATTGGGATCAAATATAATTACAGTCTGACGGAATGATAGGAATAAGGACCAAATAAGAAAAGTTTATAAATCTCACATGCTTCGCTTTTGTTAAAGCTCCACCAGAGAATGAAAGATGGAATCTACGAACTTGAGAGAGACTAACGTTAGGGCAACACTTTAAACTCACTTTTTATACAGAAATAAAACAGACCATATCTTCGATTTTATAAATGCCGACCTAATTAGAAAAGAACATAATTCTTTACGTAGAAAATACTTCGAGGGAGTTCTCATAGATGTTCTATCATCTATAAACACACGTCACTCATACTTTTATGAATCGATACTTAAAGAGTCTAACATGTGTCTACTTACTTAACCGGTGTAACATAAAAATATCCACTCTCACAAAACGTCCCCACATCAACATGCAGACAACAACCAAACATGGATGCCTATAGACAGTGTGCGATGGGTAAATTGTTTATATATTTAATTTCGCGCATGCGCGTTGTTTGTGTTTTTTAGTCGACTGCACAATACAAGGTCAATTGGACACCGTCTGAGAGAAAAAGAACACTATGACGCAATTAAGCCTGTAAGAAATTTGGAAACTGCATGCTATACTGCTTGCCATTCGCAACGGAAGCTCCAATACAAAGATTTTGGGTATCAAGCTGAGGACAGTCCAGAAGATTCGGAAAGAGTTGGATGATATATCCAGTCAACATCATGGTGTTTGGAGTGATTACTAGTGATAGCGAATTTATACCTCCAATCATTTTCACACAGGGCCTCAGATTCAACACGGAGGCCTACACCAAGCGCTTTGATGAGGTAATGGTACCTTGGGTCAAGATAGTGACTACTAGAAGATCCTATGTCTGGCAACCGGATTCTGCACTAAGCCACACAAGCAGGAGAACCCAAGCATAGCTGTCAGACAATTTCTGCGACCATTTCACGCCTTCCATCTGGCCACCTAAATGCGCAGACAGCAACCTCATTGATTATGTGTGGGGTGCAGTTGAGCGAGACACCAACAAAACTCCTCGTAACACCGAAGATGAACTGAAGGCAAGGATTATAGAAGCAGTTACCAATTTAAGCAAGGAGACACTCTAGAAGAGTTGCTGGACGCTGTGGTTGAAGCAAATGACAATTTTATTGAATATATTTACTATTAATTTCGTATTTCAATATATTTTTGTGTAATTTTAGTAAATATATCTATTAAAATGTGTGATTTAGATATTATATCCATTCCACTGTGTGTGTGTGTGTATATATAATATTAGTGGCCAATATATATATATATATATATATATATATATATATATATATATATATTTCAAAGAGGATAAAATGCAGGTACAGGTCTATGTACAAAATAGAGCAAGAATATAGTGGTTGAGCCTTATATATATATATATATATATATATATATATATATATATATATATATATATACACAGCCACTATAAATTCATATTTGTGTGTAAATATTTGTCTCTATGCATGTTTCAGTATTTATACATGTATGTATATATACCCGGTTGGGAAGTAGGTATACAATAATGAAAGACAAAAAGTACGCACAATGAGCTGTTGAGTATTGTTTAAATATATTAGGCGAGAATATATCTAAAAAGATCCATATGGAATCCTTTCTGCTCGCTACATTCCATTTTGCGAGAAGATTTTTTCATAGTTTGGGTGATGTGAAATATCCACTTTAGTGTTGTATGCGATGTTAAAGTGATCTAAAGCCAGTCTCTTAGTTCGTCCATAATTTTACAAATCTTTTCATCAGTTCACATCGAGCAATTTACAGTTTCACAAATATTCCTTCCATATCTTAGTCTGAATCAAGATATATTAAGTACTTTTTAAATTTTCTTCATGTCGCGATGTATGTTATCATCAAACAGAAGAAGCTTGTCTTCAGCCAGAAACTTAATATCCTTGTCTCATTCTACATTTCAAAGTTTGTCGTAAGAATTCATACAAAACCTGTTCGAAAAGTATGCAACCATTTTTAACATCTCCAGAACTGGTATTGTAATTCGGCAACCTATTATAAGGAACCAATTATAAGTAACCTTACTACATTCGTCCGCCCTGAGGATGACAATAAACTACATCTGACAGCAATCTCCCTGATCAGGATATTTTGGGGAGCGTGAAACCCCCTTTATTTTGCCAGATCTACCGTAACTCAGAGTGATAGCACCTGTTTAGGGCCCTAACTATGGGCAAATAGTTGACCTTCAAACTAGGTACAAAAGACTATGAAAGTATAAAACTACATTTTCATAGTAAAAATACTAGTGTTAAAATTTTGAAGAAAAAATTACTAGCAATACATTTTTGTAAATGAAATTACTAGTGCTCTCAGGAAAATTACATTTTGGCATTGAAACTTCATTGGATGAGCTTGAGGACTGTGTGACCGTCACATTCCTTATAAAAATACAGCCGGCCATTCTTTACGTTTGTGTAGTAGTTTTACAACATTTTGCCTCAGTATGTCATCATTTTTGCAGTGAAGAATAGGCTTTTTGCAAATTTATTTTTACCGAAAGTAAAATCTGCATTAAAAAAGTAGATTCGACTAAAGTAAGAGGAATAAGTGTATTATAGACCAGGGGTAGTAATTTGCAAACGAGTAAGGCGCCATTGCCCTAGGTAGGCTCTTTTCGGTAAAAAAAAATGTCTAGCTCTTATTCTTTTATATGCTGCCGAACACAGCGTTACATTGCTCTGTCAGTTTTATATGTGTCGTGATTTCAGTTGTCGTCGCTACCAAATTTTGTAATTGAGTGCATTTAAATCTAAAATATGACATTCCTTTTTATAATGAGAAAAACACAACACGGAATTTCCTAATAATTCCAGTATTTTCGTGTTCCACTTCGTGGACAATCTGACATTTCTACTGTCGAAATCTAGGACAAAATTCTCCTGATAATCTTATTCCTCGTTAAGTGCTGTAAATATTTGACGTTATGCTACTTGAAAGATGATTAAATGCCTATTTATCAGTAATCTTTCTCATTTTGTTACTGACACTGATTAAGACACGATTCTTCTATGTGCCTTTGCTACTCTAGAACGTTGGCGATCATGTCTCTCAACAATTTCTTATCCTTTGAATCTCTTAGTAAATTTTAATTTTTTGCCATTTCTCTCAAACCCTCTTCTGCACAAGCTCGTTAAGTAGGTTACACATTGTTTCCTCTATCACTCTTCCCTTCAATATGCCCTATGGGTATCAGATTTTCCAAGCCCCCTTTCCTTAGACATTTGAACTTTTTCTGATGTTAAGTGTCTTTTTTGTTTCCATTTTCTCTAAAAATGTCATCATTACTCGCATGTTCAGTTAATGATATTCTTAACATCCTTCTTTAGAACCACACTACTATTGCTTCAATTCTCTCTTCATCTGTGAGGAGATTGTCCAGCAGTCACTGCTATATAGGAAGACTGATATCAGGTAACAGTTTGGTACTCTTTTCTTTGTTTCTGTTGCTTCAAGTCTCTTTTTCATATGTGATGAGATTGTCCAGTATTCACTGCCATATACGGGGGATCATATTAAATAACAGTTCAGTAGCGGTGTTTAATGTAAAATTAAGTGGAAAACGTTTCCAGGAGTTTCATAAATAATTTTTTATCACTTCCCTCCCAAGCAAGGCGATAAAGCCACTGAGATGGAAGGGATTATTGAGAGTGAAAAGAAACTTAATAAGGAAAAGGGACAATAAAAGAACAGAATTCAGGAAGACAGTAGATAACGATATATCGCATTTAAATTCTTAAAGATCGTATTGCATATAAAATCATCTTTTTCTCATCTTTTAGAAATTATAAAATTGATAAGTCATAAGAAAATATATTTCTTTTGATCTCTGCTAAATAGAGAACATAAATGAAGTTCAAGGAAAAGTTTATATACCATCTAATTCTTTATATTTGCTCGATGCGACTTTTACAGAAATAAATAATAAAACCTACTAGAGTCTTTACAGAAAGAATTATCGTGAGAGCTGGTGATCTCTGGATCGGTGTCTATGTGAAACAAGTAATGATCTCTGGATCGGTGTCTACGTGAAACAAGTAATGATCTCTGGATCGGTGTCTACGTGAAACAAGTAATGATCTCTGGATCGGTGTCTACGTGGTAAATCTCTGGATCGGTGTCTACGTGAAACAAGTAATGATCTCTGGATCGGTGTCTACGTGAAACAAGTAATGATCTCTGGATCGGTGTCTACGTGAAATAAGTAATGATCTCTGGATCGGTCTCTACTGGAAACAAGTAATGATCTCCAGAGAGGTCTCTACGGAAACAAGTAATGATCGCCGAGATAATCGTTACCGAAATTTATTCCGTTAAAAGTTTCACCTTAAAATAATTGTCATCCAACATTTCTTTACAAATGATTCCTGGATAGTTTTTGAGCGGTTTACACAAACCTAACTAAACATTAGAATTTGTTTTTGAAAGGCATCGTGCTCAGGCCGAAAACTTATCAAAGTCCACTTTGTGGGGACAAAATCATATTAAAACTATTTTAATAAGTCATTTCCCAAAACATATTACAGTGAGTACCCCGTATTCGCGGGGGTTAGGGACCAAAACCGGCCGCGAATAGTTAAAATCCGCGAAAACTTGTAACCCCCATAAAAGTGGTTATAAGTACTTATTTTGATTGTTAAAACCCTATATATCTTAAACTTTCATCGTAAACACTTTAGAAACATTTCAGATCCTTTTTAAAACATTTTTGAAAAATAGCATTTGTGACCATACACTCAGCGTAATTTTTTTTTGCATACGTACAATAACCATTTTTAATTAAGCATAGATCGATACAACCATTAAAAATGTTGTATAAAATATGTGTAACAAGACATAAAATATAAAGTTTAAAACATTTTCTAAAAACAGAACTGTGATGATGTCCCCAGACTTAGCATAAACACTCTTAAGACCCCAGCCACAGCCCCTAATAAAAAGAACAAAGCCTAAGCACTACGCATGTTTTTGCGTTTACTTTTGTACAATGAAGATGTCCATTTCTGCCAATTTTTACCATAAAAATGAACTGTTATATGTTTTAAGTCACTTAAATAACAGGAAAATAACACAAGAATATTTTAAATATTAAATTCTTAAAATACACGAATCGTGGGAGTTCTCAGCGAATAATTTGAACTCTTCAGAAAAACACGCGAATATTCGGGGTTTACGCGAATAACAAGTACATGTCTACTAAAGAAAAATCCGCGAATGTGTGAAGCCGCGAATTTTGAAACGCGAATAGGCGGGGGCTCACTGTACTTGTTTTAATTTTCAACGATTAATTTAAAGGTTTTAAAATCCATTTTTAATAACTTTTTAAAACTTCCTGAATATCATTGATCTTATCGCATGACATAAGCTCTTTTCAAACAAAGATTGTTATTTTTTTTTTTCATATTAAACCCTTGTTTAAAATATGATTTTAAACAAGACCTTCCTGTGCATAAGGGTTTACGTCCATATCCGGTTGAAACGCCGTTTCTCGCAAGACCACCGAAGTTAATTAACATTGGGCCTGGTCAGTACGCAGGTGGGCGACCCCTTGGGAATAAAAGGGGCTGTAAGCTTTGATGTGTGTGTAGTGTTGCATATCGGAGAGCCGTTTTCTAATTCCAGTCGGGTTCGTTATATTCATTTAGGCGCAAATGCCACTGTGAAAGGTATAAACCCGCTCTTCCCCCAGTTATGGATTAATTAGTAAGACTTGTATCTCCCCTCCCACAAAAATACCTTGCCACAGCAAAAGGAACAGAAACCGGAAGAGTTGAGTTACTAAAAAGGGAATTAACTGAAACTGAGATATCCAGAAAAGGCATGGCACGTGGAAGTAGAACAATCTACCCCCAGTGGACTAAATAAAGCGTTCGGTTTGAAATTCCAACGTATATCACCTGAAGAAGACCAGAGTATGCAACGGCCGAAACGTCGTGAATATGTCAATAAAGTTGAGGACAACAGTCCGAACAATATACATAGTGTAAATAGTTACAATAGTTCATAGAAATATAGATACAACAATACTGATATATTGATAACTTGTTTGTTTTATAAATGATACTTTAATCTTCGGTTTAGAAATTCTGTTAACCCCTTGCATCTTAGTCGCCTTGCTTGAATTGAAATGATAATTTTAAAAAAAAGTACATCCACTCAAACATATGCACTTGGCTTGTCTGGCATAAGGTTGCAAGTGCTGAGCTTCTAGTGACCACGGAACTCGATGCACAGTGGTAACCTTCTTCTGGAAAATGTGTTGACCATATATATATATATATATATATATATATATATATATATACTAGCAGCATGGCCCATCGTTGCCAGTGCTTGATTCAAAAATCGTACGACTCGTACAGCAATCGCTATCACTTAAAATATTTTTGCCCTGCCTTGCTTTTAAAGGACTGCCCTTTGCTGTGCTGATGTTGCTACATGCCTTACTTCTTGCCTATCTCACACTGCGAATTTTTTCTAAGCTCTATACTAAACATTAAATCTGTTACGAAAAAAAGAACTAAACAAAATGAACACAAAACGATCAGCTTTAAAAAGGACTGGTAACTGGAAAAACCGAATGAAAAAAGAATGTTAACAACAAATACATTTTCACACCCAACCCACTTCTGCGGAATCAGAATCAACGTTGAGTTTAAGCAAGCGAATGAGCCAATTGGAGTAAAGTGCCATGCAGATTTAAATTTTTCCCACTTATGACAAATGCAGCTATCGATTTTTTTGCATGCTAGTTAACATTCGTGTCTGTCAGCTGTTGGCTCTCACGCTGGCCAATAGAATCTTCCTGCCTATTCGTGGCAGCCAGCTATAGGCTCTCACTCTGGCCAGTACAAAATGACCGCAAACTACATGAAAACAGCCGCAGAAGCATGAAAAAATGATTTTCACTATCGATGGGAGTTGGAAAATGCAAAGTCGGTCTTGGTCTTTCCACTAACTTGGAGCATGTGCATGTAAATTTTGGTGCAAATCCGTCGAAAATTGCGACCGTGCATTCGTTACACACAGACACACATCCTGCCTTTTATAGATAGAGATAACTGACTTGAAATAGGTTATAATCTAATTTCTATAAGGATAGTTAAAGTAAAAATCATAATGTTTATAAACATAAAGCGAATCCCGTCTTACCTCACTGATTTTGTTGAAATAAATTCCTTTTCTTATGACGCAGATTCCTCGGCAGAACAAAACATATATTGGATTTTTCAGTGCCTCCACGTCGATACCGAATGTGATACAAGGTTAGAATAAAGTGGGTTTAACGGCATTACTGTGGAAAAATTACTGGAGACCCCTCGGCACTTCACTATTTGGAGATACCTCAGTCGCCGAGTAATGACCTCAGCACTCACCCAGACAGAGGTACTGTCTGGGACTGTCCCTTTGAGGCTGGAGCTAAATATTATTTTGAAACTACCCCAGCCGTAGCCGGGAAAAAAATATATATATATATATTACATATTGCTACAAACGTTATTTTAGTGGGTACACGTGTTTGAAAAGTCTATTCGTTTTTATTTTCAAACAGTGAAATTAACGTCTACAGGCCTAGAGCATCGATCGTTGCCTTAAAAAATGTGTACCTCTCTTTTGATACTCTCAGCGGGCAAAAGCTGATTTCATTGTTTTTGGACAAACACCAATGGCTATCCAAACGCTTAGGTGAACACTTGGTAGGTTTGTCTGGCTCTCTAGCTTTAATTGTCTGCTCAACTTAACGTATTGAGCACTTTATTTAGTTATTTTGCTCACTCGTATCGGGTTTTTTCTTTGGACTTTGGACTTGCATGCTAGACAATTATTTTTGGCTGACGTACATGTTCCTGGTTCTTTCTTTTTTATACCTTTTTTTCCCTTTGGTATTGGTTTGATTATTTGCAAATCAAGACACCGAAGGTTTTCTGGACGAGTATAATTTCTTATACTTATAAGATTATTACTACTTATATATATATATATATATATATATATATATATATATATATATATAGCCCACTAAAGGTGTACTAACGCTTGGTTTGAGATTTCATTGAAGCGTGAAACTTTCAGTCTCAATGTAGTGTTGATTCTTATGTCCTCACTGTTTCTATCTATAAAGGCTCTCTCTGGGATTGAGCACCCTAGCCCTAGATATATAGCAAGTTTTAAGCACACAAACACACACGTAAATTCCTAAGTTGAAATTGTTTACGATTAGACGCTCCTCTCAAAGATAAATGTTTTGTTTTGATATGGAGTGCATGAAGCATTCAAGTAGTTCTTTTATTATTGACTATATACTATATGTTGCGTAACAGCATATTCTGTTCTCATCAGCATCTTCTGGTCAGTGTTACTCCGACTACCCCCCCCTCGTGCGTCACGCTTTTTTTTTAATTTCTTTTCTTTTATTATTTCTTTTATTATTGCAACAAAAGGCGATGTTCTTTTAGTAAAGCGTAATTCTCTCTGTGCACGACATTTTCTGAAAGAGTTTTTCTTTTCTGCGCGTAGGTGGAGGTGTCTTTTCGCAAGAATTACTCCCAGACTTCTGAAGAACGCAGATCAAATTTCGAAATATTCTCAAATAACAATCTCCGCCCACTTGTGAAACCATTGCTCGCAATCAGTATTTTTTCGCTGAACTTGGTCGGCAAAATGTCAGCCAACCATACGATCCAACGACGTAAAGAAAAAAGTATTTCATAACGTCATTCATTTCGTGGTGTCCGGCAGTAAAAATTGAAGACTGTCACATATTTCGAAGTTTTTAAATAATAGTCCTTGCCAATTTTAATTTTCTTTTACCTTGTCGCACAGTGTTTATCCATCTCTGCATATGAAGCTATTGGTTTTTAGTTCTTTCAGTAGCTGATACAAAACGTGATACACCAGCCCTACACCCAGATATCTTCGTCGAGACACCATCTCTAGAAAGAGTGTCATCCAAGGCTAAGGAGTTCTTTCAAGCCATGAAATAGATTATCCCAGGCCAGGTACCAACAAAAATTCCAGAACATCAGTTGGAGATCCGATGCAATGCTTAACACAATTTACAGAGAACTGAGTCCAATCTCTCTTAAGCTCAAACAAAAGCGATTGCAGTTTACTGGCCACTGCAACCGAACTATGGCATCCTTCTAGAGGTGTCTTCTTAGGTTGACTTTCCCAGACACCATGGCTCGGGACTCAGGTTTGGACATTGAGGATCTGGGAACGGCAATGCAGGACCGAACAGTGTGCAACTGGATTGGTGATGGAGTTCCGACCAACCACAGGGAGGTCGAAGGATGATGATAACTTTTATGAAGTGTAACCTTACATCACAAGTCCCGTAATCCATTAGAGACTTACAGGCACCATATATACTGCAACCATTGCAGCACTGGTGTGATAGGTCAAGATAACCTGACGGAACCCATTCCTCTTCAAGTTGGTTTCGAATTCAAAATTTCCTTTCTTGTAGACTGGTTGTCATCTTAAGGCAAGATATTCCCATCAGCTCTACTATTTAACCGATAGCTGAAAGAAGAGAGGGATCCATAACGTTTTCAAGGGTATTGGCGAGAAAGTGAATGCAATGAATTCGGCCGGAATTCGAACTCAGAATTCAATTTCTTTTTTTAAGTCTTTAACTGTTACACGGCGACATCGGGGAAGAACGTCTTCACATGCATTTGTTACAATTGAGACTGTCACTCTTGTGCGGGCGTGTACAGCCATAATAGATGCCTACCGCCATCAGCAGCTGAGGCATAACTCTTTGGGACGCAGATACACGATCTCTCGAAACCGATGGATGCCACACACACAGTGCACTACTCTATTGTATAATCATTTAGAAATAAATTAGAAATGTTACAAATGGTGCAAAAGTGACATTTAAGATACCTGAAACTGATTGACACAAACTCGTTTCACGTATAGTATGCTTGAAATAGCAGTAAGCTATAACTTCTCATTTAGCGACCAGGTCGTTAAGTGAAGTGTAACTGTAAACCTTTTTATATAAGATTTGCTCTTTTTAAATACATTTTGCAAAGATTTCGATTAATAAAAGGTTTGAGCACTAATATTCCACGGATATGAGAAAACAAAGCTGGCAATTCTGTTAATGCTAAGGTATTGCTGTATTGTAATTCTTGCTTTTCTTGCAATAATTTTTCTTGCAAATAACACTGCCCATTATTAGTTGTTACATTTGCATAAACATTTGATATATTAAATTACAGATGTAGTATAACTTTTATGCAATGCTTAACACAATTTATGGACAACTGAGACCAATCTCTCTTAAACTCAAACAAAAGCGATTACAGTTTGCCGGTCACTGCTACCGGTCTTCTTGCAAAAGTTTACTTTCCCAGACACCATGGCTCGGGACACAGGGTTGGACATTGAAGATCTGGGGACGGCAATACTGGACCGAGTAGTCTGGAAAGGGATTGTTAATGGAGTTCCTCCACAGGGAGGTCGAAGGATGAGCATGATTATTGACTTTTTCGGACAATCGATTGTTAATATTTTTCTTATTTATTTAAGTGCTATTATTCTTAAGGGATCTCTTA